CTGCAGGCTTCTTAGGAGAAACAGATCATCCCCTCACTTCACATCTCTGTTGTCACCCATTTTCTTTTTCATTTTTTATGTTGGGAGACATTGTTTTTCTTTATTTTAGCCACAGTTGCCTTTGTGCTTGTGATCTCATCACTTTCTCTGGCATTTTCTAACGTTAATCATCTTGTGCTAGTGCGCATTTCAGCTGTTGCCTCCATGTGGACTTCTCTCCTTTGCCTATTAACATTTTCAATTCTTCCTCATAAAACATTAAAAAAAAAAAACAACTCTTCAAACTATAGTTCTCCTCCTTTCCCCCTTGATTTCTTGGAAGACCAGTATGTACCTGTGGCCTCTACTTTCTATTTTCTCAACTAGTTGCAAACTCGATATTCTAGTAAAATTATATTTCCAATGACTACGCTGTCCTCTTCCTCTTGGGACATCTGCTTGCTAGACAAAGTGAATGCAGACAAGGCTCACTTCCCTCTGTCTTTCTGGCTCTCCTCCCATTTTAATCATGCTAGATAGAGCTAAGATAATTAATGTGATACTCTACATTGGGGTCAAGAACTAAATGTAGTTCATCATGTTTTTATATATAAGGTTTGATTGGCCCACCCATTTGTTTGCATGCTGCTTATGACTGTTTTCATGCTCTAGAAGCAAAACTGAGTAGTTGTGAAAAAACACTGGCCTGCAAAGCCTACAGTATTTAATAATCGACCCTTTATAGAAAAGGTTTACAGACCTCTTCTAGATGTCTAAACAATCTAGATTTAGATGAATGTATATGAGTTATTTTCAAGAGAAAATAACTATGAGATACCAAAAAAAATATTAATGATAGACATTAATGACTATTAGGGAGTGCCTGGCTGGTTCAGTCAAAAGAGCCAGCAACTTGATTTCAGGGTCATGAATTTGAGCCCCACACTGGGTGTAGAGATTGCTTAAATAAATTTTGAAAAGCTTAAAGAAATTAATGACTATTGGAAGAGGTGCAGTAAGAACACAAAATTTTTAGAACGATACCTAGAGAAATCCGTTTGTGATGTGTGGGTAAATAGTGCTGTATTAGCTAAGGGAGGTAACGTGAAGCCAGAAAGTTTGGGTGAGGAGGTGATACAAAGAGGGAGAATATGACCCTGATTTTACTTAGAGCTATTTTACATTTGGGTATTCTTACATCCAGTAATGATAATATGTATGACCTCAGTGTCCAGGAGGAAAATTGAGACTAAAGAGAAAAACTGGGGAATGCCATTGTGTCAGAAAAAGAAAATATGGAACCTGAGAAGAAAGTGCTCACAATTAAGAAGGTCCAACACATTACAATTTCTTTTCCCTACAGACTCTGTTAAGTCATGCACACCTTTTCATTATCACACTACAGACTTTTTACATGATGACTTTGGCATGTAGAGTTGACCCTCTTCATTCATTAATTCCATGCTTGTGAACTTAACTTGCTAAAAGTTATTTGCAACCCCAAAATTAACATGCATAGTGCTTTCATGGTCATTTGCAGACATGATCACAGTGTTAAAAAAAATGAGATGCTGGACACTTTCCTGTCTTAGGTTGAGCAAAGTGATGCTGAGTCTTGTTTTGGTTCTCATACTATAAGACAAATGTCCATTTTGTGGTCTATTTAATGTCATATTTTCTGCATTTTTGTGCTTTTTGTTAGTGATTTCTGTGTTTAAAATAGCCCCAAATCATAATTTTTAATTGCTGTGTAATTATGTTCCTACACACAGGGCTGTAATGTGCCTTATGTAGAAAAGATGTGTTGTTAGATACGCTTCATTCAGGCATGAGTTACGGTGCTGTTGGTGTGAGGTCAATGCTAATGAATCAACAATATATTTTAAATAAGATCCCTTTAAACAGAAGCTACATAAAACAAGGTTATGTATTGATTAGTTGGCAAAAATGTTATAAACAGGAACTTGTAGGAACTTAACCCTGTATTTCCTCTAGCAATGTTTGAGTATTCACTGTTTATGGGAACTTTATAGGATATAACTACAGTATGTTATATGAACTGATTAGTCCGTAATCAGATTATAAATTTCTTAAAGAATCCCTTATTCATCTTTTTAAAAATTCAATTTATTTAAACTAAAAACAAAAACAAAAAATCCAACAGAAACAGTTCACTCATTTCTAGGTAAATAAAAATCCCTTATTTATCCTTATGCAACATGTAGTATGCCATTTACTGACATTTTCTGAAAATATCTAGCATTACCACAGAATACACTTGTTTTCAAATTTATGAGGCTTTTTAACAGACAGGATCTAATAAACAGATATGTACTGAAGAGGGAGTTCAAAATGACATGTGTCAAGGCTAGTACCTTCAGGCAAGGAGGTTTGCTTTTAAGAAAAACAAACTTAGAAATACTTTAAAGCAGAAGACAATCATAGACCAAAAAACGTGCTTTTTAATTTTTAACCAAAAGGATCATTAAGTTGATATAAGTTTTTTTTTTTAAAACTGGGGTATTCATAATAATGTCAGTCAATATTCTTAAGCAACATGATTATTTAATGAAAGATGGGGGCAGTTATAATTTGTGTGAAATTTCCAATTAGAATTTAAAATTCTCTAAACTCTTATAAAATTATAAATTGATACTATTTCTCCATATGGGAAGTCAGATAACTTGATTTTAATACAATTTGAAATTAAAATACAATTGTTTATACAACAATGAATAAAGACAAGTTTCCAAGACAGATATAAAAATGGAAAATTCAAAAATAAACAGAAGCAATGTAAATAGTTATAAAATATCAATTTATAAATGTTGCTTAGAGCAATGCTATTCTAAATATGGTCCATGAGCTATTAGCAACTCATTGCAAACGAAAGAACTTGTGCCAGAATGGAAATCAATTATATCATTGATCAGCTGACTTTTTTTCATAACAAGACTTTCTTTACAGGAAGCAATGTATTGATATACATTCTGACACAGGTGCCTTATTTCATTATAGACTGCAGAACACATACTGCTTATGTCCTTAAAGTGCCACTATAATTTTACTGCTCAGAATTAACTTTGTGGAGAAAAAAATTAAAATGACAAGTTTAACTGTCATCTATATTTTTTAATCCTGTCTATCCAAAAGGCAAAGTTATTAAACTTTATAAATTCATCACAATTTAACATTAATTTTCAGATGTGTTTAAGTGTTAGGACATCTGCTCACCTCAGAGGGGCTAAGATTCCTACTTTAATGAGATATATCATCTACTTTTGATAGATACATTTTTTCCAATCTTGGGAGAAAAAGAATTGAGTCATTTGTTAACAACTTCTCTCTAAATACTCATTTAATTTTCACATTTCAAACAGTGAAAATATTTAAATTCACTTTTACAAAAAAATGAATTTTTATATTGTTTGTGCAACTATTTGTTACTTTTTTACAATAAAAATTATTAGGAAAAAAGGTATGGAAATTTACAACTTTGTGTTTTCTGTTAACTAAGGGCCGACATATGAACTATTTTAAGATTCTTCAGACTAAAAGAAAACTGGTATAAAATATTTAAGAATTAGCTTAGAATTTAAAATGCAAACATTTCTTTATTTTTTTCTTTATTTTTTATTTTTGCCAAGCCATAATTCCTCTAGAAATTTAAAAATAAAATATCTTTTATAAAAATCCTTTCACCAATGGCTTACCAAGCTTTACATGCAATAGCTTAATATGGAAGGCAAAGAAATGGACAATCAAAAATTTAGAAAAAACTCATCAGTTTTAGATATACAAGAGCCCAATTTAGCTTCTGCAATGGCTAGTTTATTGAACCAACAAACTATTTCTTGAAGAATTTAAATGTATATTTACATATCCATAAGAAGAGAGCTCCTTTGGCACCTGAGTTGAACACAACATAGTAGAGCAAAGACTCTCTAAGAGAAAGTTGTCTAAAGACTATATTTTATCCATCTATACATAAATACATAGCCTATACATATACACATATGCACACACAAGTAGAAATAACTTTTCCTTTAAGAAATGCTGAAGATTTAAAAGGAAGTCACCATTTAGCCAAATGGCTTTTTTAAAAAGTTTCAAGTTATTTGGAATCTTAACCAAATTTCAGAAAGTTAAAGGTTTAGAGTAATATATAACTCAAGGGGCAGGGGGAGCTCGAGAATTTCTTTTTGGTCAAAATATAATTTCTTTAAATGTAGTAACATGGGCACGAGGTTACAATTATCCTAACATGATAATATAACAGAATCTTTAATAGTAACGAGGTGCAAAGTCATCAAACATAACCAAAAAAGGAGTAAATTTCCCTCTATTAGCACAGCGGTCATCAGCCACTCTGCTGTCCTTAGACTCTTCCTAACATTGGTCCCAGCAGAAGACCATTAAAGGCCACCTGGCAGATTGCCTTCTGCCGAGCCTCATCGCTCGCTGGAATTCTACATAAGCACTCCGATATCAGGTTTTATGATCACATCCACCTTGCTGTCATGGACTCTGGCCCTGGAGTTAACAGACTTACTGGGCTGCGTTTTTGTTTTTTGTTTTTACACATACTTTCAGAACTCTGAATGACTGCCTTATATCCTAAGACTCAGAAAACATCGAAAATTCTGTAAGTTGACAAAATCAGGCAGCATTTTTTCTATACTCAATTAATAAACATGTTTGATCACCCAAAATAGAGGACAGTCAGTTTTATTTAAGTATCTTCTACCCAGAAATTCTGGAATATGAAAATCCTCTACACTTGAATACCATCTAATTCTCCATCTTTCAGACCTTATTAAATCTGAAGTATGTTGAGAGAGGGCAAAAGACATTTGAGTTAAAAAAAAGAAATGATGCTACGCTGCTCTTTTTTCTGCTTCAACTTGTACAGAGTATTCCTAATCAGGTTTCTCACTCCCTCTTTGCTCTGGTTAAAAGGACATGTCTCATATAGCAGACTATATATCCTGGAAATCGTAGGCAGTTTCAAAATATTTGTGATTAAAATATTTTCAAATGTAAAACTCCCTTGAGCATCTAAAAATAGTACATATTTTTCTTAAACTTGACACTATTATCCTAACAAAATTTTGTCAATAGAGGCATGGTATAGGACTTACCTTAGAGAACCTATTAAATTCAAATGCCTTCATTTTGCTCAGTTTATTTCAACCATAATATAACCCAAATCACTGTTTTCCTTATCTGTAAAACATTTTGATAAACCCATTTGAACTTGAATTATTTCATTAACATGCTGACTCACATGCACAACTGTATTTTTTGTCATATATTTAAATATTTCTTCTCTGCAAAGTTAGTATCTCGGAACAGGAAATGAAATTATGCTGGTTACTAGTAATTTAGCATCAAAACACTTCCCTAAACTCCTCTATGCAAAAGTGCACTTACAATATAAACATGCTATAAATGAAGCTACAAACTACAATCTCACATTGCAGTAGATTTCAAATTCCAAATTCAGTCCAAATAACTCAAAGAGAAAAGTGCTAACACAGCAAATCTGAAACAAGTTCATGGGGATTGGGCAATGAGTTATCAAAGCGAAATCTTTTGGAAACCATGCTGCTATCCTCTGGAATATTCTCTTTGTCTTCTCGATCACTACAGGTTCCATTACAAGAGGATTTAGAAGTTTTGTCTTCAGAGGACCTTAATGAATGATCTTGACTTTGAGAGGAACTGGAAGTTTCTTCAGGGTGAAATAAGTTTCCAAAGTCCCACTGCTGTAGCCAAGAATGAGACAGGCAGATTTCTGCTGTTGGTCTTTTCCTTTGAAAGAGAGCATCAAGTGAAAATTTAGAACTAAAATATCAAGTTAGAAATCGCTGCAGTTTGATATACTATAGACTTAATTTTTTAATTTATTATGAAAATAACACATACTCATAGTACAGATGGGAATAACAATACAAAGACTGGAGTACCTAGAGTTTCTTTAATATTGACATCGGCTGAAAAATTCATTGTATCATGGAGCTTATGGATGAGACTAATCAAAAAGCTTGAGAACATATGCTAGCCTCACAAATAAAAATTAGTAAAATTATAAAATCTCTTGAGTAAACAAAACTCTGAAACAAAACATATATAATATATAATCTATTATTATTGTGCTCTTAAAAGCAATACAGTTAAGTCTTGAAAATAAAGGCTGCTCTTGAATGATGTTTACTGAATATTTTGAATTTTTACATTTTGTTTTCTCTCTTGAAAATAATATGGTTAAATATCACAGTATGTCAAAAGTTAGGAAAATACCTAGAACTCCAACCTTAACACAACCACCATTTCCATTAGAACATATGCTTCCTGAGGCTTTACCTTCATTTTTTTAAAGATTTTATTTGTCATTTAGAGAGAGAGCACACAAGCAGGGGGAGCAGCAAGCAGAGGGAGAAGCAGGCTCCCACCAGATGCGAGACTTGATCCTGGATCATGACCCGAGCCAAAGGCAGATGCTTAACTGACTGAGCAACCCAGACTTCCCTTAACTTAATTTTTTATGATCATTTTAATTTCATTGTTTTCTGATTACAAACAAATTAATGTACTCATTTTAGAAATTATGTTTCTAAAATAAATAAAATAAAAAATTTCTTATTTTATTATAAGAAAATGAATGTGTTCATTCTAGAAATTTTAGAAACTAAGTAAAAATGAAAATGAAAACTGCTTAAAACTGCGTATAATCAGAAGCAAACAATATTTTTACTACAATTACTAAATAAGCATTTGTGTCCAAAAAATGGCCAGTGAGAATTTGTTTGGACTTGCATTATGCCAATAAAATAATTAACAAACCTGAGTTTTTTTCTTAAACAGATAAGAAACTGAGTCCTCCAGGCAATTAAGTAATTGTTAGAGATAAAAGACCTGACAAGTAACAAAACCAGGATCGGAGCCCAAGGCACTATATCCCAGCTTCTGTGTTAAGTTTAGCCAGGCCAGGGAGCACTGGGTGTTATACATAAATAATTAATCCTGGAACACTGCATCAAAAAGGAATGATGGATTTTATGGTGACGAACATAACACAATTAAAAGATTAAAAAAATAAAAAAAATAAAGTAAATGGGGCAGATATGAGTAAAGAAAAGGGAGGTCAGTTTTTTCTTTTCCTGCTCTGAGGTTGCCAATGAGAGAGTTAAGAGTCCTAAGTCATAGTTTCAAGTCCCTTTTTTTGCAGGTGGTCAAAAAGCATCTCTGACCTCTAAAGATTTGACAATCAGTAACTGATACTTACCAAATAACTATAATTACTTGCCTACAAATTATTCACAACAAAGTCTGTCATAGCCAGCCATGTGTATTGTAAACCTACTTCTAATTATTTTAGGGAATTTCAGGGTTTAGTAGCAGGTTGAGAGAGAAATAAAACAAATCTTCTCTTTACTCCAGAATTTCCAGTTACATGTTTTATATATTTTTTATGTTTGAAGTTACTGAGTTGTTCTAATGATCTCTTACATCACCTTTCTTCCCATTTTATCTGAAACTTGACAGAATACTTCTAATAACTCATTATGTTATTAGACATATATTCATTTTGCAACAGTACTTAAACAAATTAATGTTATAACTCACTCTGGATTTTTTACTAAAAGCCTCTGGATGAAGTCTGTGGCCAGCTGTGAAACTGATGAAAAAGTTTCTTCTGAATAATCTACATTAACTTGAGAAATATTGAGGTACGTTTCTTGATTATCTTCTCCCACAAATGGAGATGTATGGGTTAACAACATATATGCTATTATGCCAATATTCCTGAAAAGGAAATAAGGGACAAGAGGGGAACTTAAAATGCATGTTAATCTGAAAACATTTATAGAAAGTAAAATTGATACTTAACGTATTCTTCAAAACTTCTACAGTTCATCTATAGACTTAAATTGCTTTTCAAACTTTCTATATTAATAAAACTAAAATAACTGCTATCTCAAAGTCTGTCTCACAGAAAAAGAACATGAGGGGAATGCATATTGTGTTACATAATTATAAATATAATGTATTAAATATGTATCACGGTATCTATGTTCCGCCCTTCATCCGGACACCTGTTACTGAGAACACAACGGTGCTTGAAGGCAGCATTTCCTAAAAGGTATCAATGACACAGTAACGATCTGTGAGACATAAACAGGAGTTCTGCGCAAACAGAGTCAGCAAGTTCGGCAAAGCACAAAGTTGGGCAAGCAGATTTTTTTTTCATTGCAAAACTTTTCAGGGCCTTAAATATATTAATGACAAGTCTGGTGCTCAGGAGCCAGAACAAGAATACATGCAGTACGTGTTTCCCACTTATTTAGCCAAGGACGGTTTTTCCTTGGCAAGCTGATTACAGTTACATGGAACACAGGGAATAAGTCTAAACTCTTCCACTTGGCCTGGGGAGTCGGCCCCCACTGTGGTCCCACCTAAAGTTCCAGTAGGAATTCCAGTTTTACTCCCTATGATATCTGATATTCAAAATATCATTTCACTTGCCACAAAAATTCACAATACCCTAGAGATATCATCTCATAAAACTAAACTTTTGCATGAACCCAACCTCAGTTTTCTGCGTAGCAAATACCTTCCTAGTTCTTCTAGACCTAGATCAGATATTTTCCATCTGGTGCTTGTCTGTTGTTTCCTTTCTGCTCATTACCTTATTACAGAACATGTTGCACAGTACTGCAACTATTTTGTTTTTTTTTTTACTCCTTCAGGAAAGGGATTTTTCCTATTTATTTCTGTACCTTTGGCTCAGAGCCAAAGTATTACTTAAAAAGAATGGACAGGTAAATGTTTTCTTGTGGCATACTAATGATACTTGAAAACAACCTTTTACAGAAAACCTTATTATTTACATTTGGAATCAAAGAACCCTAAAATATATAGTACCTAATATCTAACAAAAACATTTAGGTAACTAGCAAAACCTTACCACATATCTGTTGCTGTAGTAATAGGATCATAGTTCAGGATTTCTGGAGCTGAAGCAAAAATAAAATTCAAATTTAAAAACCTGAAAACCATTTTATAATAAATTAAAACTGGTTTTAATTTTAAAGAACTAATAATATCAAATTAATAGAAATTTAGCATATGATTAATTATCCTGTGATTAGACATTTAAACATATCTAATGTTGAGAAAATTATATAACCAAATGGTACAAATAACAGTTTTGGAGTAACCAGTAGCTAGCTATGTAGGGTTTTTTTTTTTAATCATTAAGATCAATCTTAGGAAAAACAATTAGGAAGAAGTAAAATGTTAGACACTAGAATTGTTTTAAAAATTTTAGTTTTATTACTCTATGTTAAGAGTTAATGTTATTTTATCATACTAATTTAAGTTTTTCTTTTCAGGATAAAGAAAATCATATGTATCTATAATAACATAATGAGCAAATTATGCTTCCTAAAAGTGCTTTAAATTTTCAAGTAGATCAAATATTCCTCTTAAACTATCAAAAACCTAAATTCCTATGCAATTAATTTCCCATCTTTTCCTTCCCTGCCAGCTTTTTAAGTGCAAAATAAATGTTCTATATTTTGTAAACATTATCACAAATTCCAAAATAGTCGAGTCCAAACTAGAATTTGTGCTTGAATAATAACTTTCTTGTTTCACAGTATGGTTTCATAATTTCTCCAAAGAGAAATCGTTTCCTAAACCCTAACATTTTTATTAAAAAAGACTTTGAGTCATATATATTTGTCAGTCTCTGTCTGTCACACAATCTACAACCTGACCCATTCTTCTGTGAGCTGTGTTATCTATAATTACAATCATTTATTCTAGGACACTATAGCCCCTAATAGCACTCCAAAGTTAGTAATTTGCTTGGTTTTTCATTTCAGGAAAGTCAGTTGCCTTGTTGAGAAGCACCTGTTCTGTTTAGTTTTATCTTTTCAATGCTCACATGGGGATATCAATATCATAAGAGCAACAACAAAAAAGCCCAAGAATATTATTACTATAAATACTTTAAAATACTTTATGTGCTGCTTTACAGAACTTAATTTTTTCATCTGCATGATCTAATTCATTGATACAGTACAATATCCTTAGATTATCTAATATTAGGCTCTCTTGGGCATCTTTTTCTTCAAAAATCCTCCTTTTACAATCCTAGGCAAAACCTCACACTTTTACCACAGCAGCAACAAATAGTAAGCAGTCCTGTTAACAATTCTTGCAAAACTGAAGATAATGTATATTGTAAACAGCTTCAGAGTTGGGACCAGGACAGAAGTAGAAATGACAAGCATCCAACAGCCAGGCTTCAAATAAAATAAAGGACCATCTGACTGTTTCCCCCTCTTTCTTTTTCTCCTGTTCCCTAATTTCCCCTTCATCCCTTCTTCTTTATGTACTAAGCCTTTACACACAAACGTTAACCTCTGAATTGTTATGTCCAACGTCCTATGAATCGTCGTGAATGTCTAAATAATCCTCTATACGCTAAAGTTCATTTGAATGTGTCATAACCCAATTTCAATGCATTAAAATACCTGAACTAAATATATCCTAGAATTACATGCTCTAAAATATAGTTTCATAGAGGTCTCATTTAGTTGATAAATTTCAAAATGGTGTAGAAAATAAAAAGAAATTCTTACCTAAGTATTCTGGTGTTCCCATGATTTCCCGAAGTTCACAAGCATTCCCTATTTTTCGAGACATTCCAAAATCTACAATTTTTATATCTCCAAGAGGGTATATGCTGCTCAATAATATATTCTGTGGCTAAATAAAGCACAATAAAAAATGATAAGTAATATACAACAATAAAAGAATACTAGTCTTAGATGGAAGGTAAATCAAGTGTTTAGTTATTACACATTTCATTGAGTCATTCACCAAATATTTACTGAACTGCTTATTTAGGAAAAGCTTTATACTCAAATGATAAATAAAGCTAAAAATACACTCAGAGGATTATTAGTTTGGACAAAAAAGAAGTTAGATGAATATTTGGATTAATTGACTATGAGATACACTCAGTAATAAAGACAAGACTTCTTAATTCTGCCTGTTATAAAGTCTAAGAAGATTTTCCTGTAGAGATGATAGTTAAGTTAGACCTTACAGGATAAACAGGAGCATGTCAGTTAGAAAGGCGCTCTAGGAAACAGCATGAAAGAAGGTGAAGGAATAAAAAACCTATACATTTCTGGAAACAGAAAATGGTCCAGTATAGTATGATGGTTCTGGGTCTGACTGTTGCCAGGTTTTTAGCTCAGACAATAAGAGATATGGAAGTATGGAAGGCTTTAGCTATACAGTTCTCAGAACTATGTGACTTTGCTTTATAAAGCAATGGACTGCGGTCTATTGCAAAATTCCCTGCCACTGTCATAAACCATACAGCTGCTGAGGTGCTGCTCCCAAAGTCTGTGAGAAGACTCAGAAGTCTGACTTTGGGAAACCCCATGCTTGTTTATTATTAAGTCACAGACACATTGAAAGAGATGAGGCAAGGGTAATTAAGTCTACTGTTGTCAACCACAGGCTTTAGGATATATAAAGCCAAGTTTATTTGCCATCCCTGACTACAAGTGCTGTGTGGTATTATATAATACATGTGACTGGTCTCTCCTTAGGAAAAAATCCTCCTTAGAAAAAACTCTCCTTAGAAAAAAACATGCTCCTGTTTGTCCTGTAAGGTCTAAGGTAAATACTACCTTTCCTCAATGGGCGGGGGGCGGGGGACCAACACAGATGAACAGATTTTCTTTTTCTTTAGAAAACGGGGTAAGATAAAAAGTCTTATTTGACATATGTACATTTTAAGGTTTCTACAAGATATCCCAATGGCATCTATCTGCAGTTTACGAGAGAAGTCTTGGCTACAGGTAAGAGAACTGGAAATCATCATTACTGTAAAAGTGATAGTAAAGGACAAAGGATCATGCAATAGGGAAAGTGTATAGAAAGAGAAGAGTCCAATGTTCAAAAAATGGAATTTTGGATGGCTGAGGAGGAAGGATATGGAGAAAGGATAATAATATAACAGTATGTTTAAGGGGTATTACTTGAGGAGTAAGTGGCCTGAATGGTCTTGGGGCAAAAAAAAAAAAAAAAGCCAAAAGACTAAAAGTCTCAAGGTAAAGATAAAGGACATTAGGGAGCAAAGAAACAAGGACTAGCAGGAGGTTATCTTCAGAGATGGAAATCCGACTAGAGTATTTAGAGGCGGCCGTTTTACAGGATGAGAAAACCCGGGGTGGAAGACTGAGATGCAGCGGAATGACTGAAGGATTGGAACACGGAGGGATGGTGGTTTTTAAGAACACAGTGATTACTTTGTGCTGCTCACACATAAGGTCTCCTCCTCTCTGCCAATACACATCTCGGTCCGTGCAGCCCACGGGTAAACGAAGAGTAGCACCGCAGTACAGAGCTGCGCGACCTGGCGGTTGTTCCCCAGCCATCCCGGCTTGCAGTTACGCGTCCCGAGAGCAGAAGGAGCAAAGACGTTGTGTGACTCAGAATCATACGTTACATTACCTTTAAGTCAAGGTGTACAATGTTATTCTGATGTAGATAACAAACTCCTTCAAGTATTTGTTTAATGAGTCTGATAATGTCATTCTCAGAAACCATTTCAGCCAGCTCAGGTAAACACAAGTTGAAGATTTCTCCACCCGCAGCACTGAAACAAAATTCAAATAATAGAAACTTGAAAAATCACTGACCTAAAAATGACTTTTAAATACTGTATAACTGTTATGTAAAAGACAAAGCTATCTAAACTTTAGTCTCTCTGTGTAGATACATGCACTTAAGAAATTGGGGGAAAGGACGGTGGGAGAGATCTTTAAGGAAGAAAGTAAACGACAAGAATATTTTAAATTTTGAGTACCAATACTTGTATAAATAATAAAATTGAATTGCTTTATAATTCAATAATATTATAGTCTGCTTTAATGATGCAATAAAAATAAGAGCTAACACTCTGAACTCAGATCAGGCCCTTCATTTTATCCGTTTATATAGAGAGATAAATATCATCTCTTGATTCTCATGACAACCATGTGGGGTAGTTAGTTATTACTCCCATTTTACTGATGAAGAAACAAGTACAAAGAAGTTAAGCTACTTGTACAAGGTCACATGGTAAATGGGTAACTAGAATCGGAAGCTGTATGATATGGGTGAAAATCTGCATTCTTGGGAGACAAACCATGAGAGACTGTGGACTCTGAGAAACAAACTGAGGGTTTTGGAGGGGAGGAGAGTGGCGGGGTAGGTGAGCCTGGTGGTGGGTATTATGGAGGACACGTATTGCGTGGAGCACTGGGTGTGGTGCATAAACAATAAATTTTGGAACACTGAAAAAATAAAAAAGAAAATCTGCAGTCTTAACTAATACCCTGATTTTCTTTTATTATTTTTTTAAAAGAATTGAAAATCTAAAGAATGTTGACAAAGGCACAGAAAAAAGTCCCTAGGTTTGGAATCAAATAATATAAATATAAATCCCAAATCTGTTATTTACCAGCAATAAAACTTAGGATCAGTCACTTATTTGGCTTTTCCCATCTGTAAAACTGAATAAAAATCACTGAGTTCAACAGATTTTTTTTTCCCGAGGATGAAATCTAAAAAATGCAAAAAAAATCTAGGAGGTCACTCAATAAATTTATAAGGTATGTTTAAGAATATCTCAAGTAAGGCATGTTCTATGTGGTAAAACAGGAAAGTGTCTGGCATATAGGAGGTATTCAGTAAAAGTCTGTTGAATGAATGAATGAATGAATGAATGAATGATGGAATAGACAGTCATTCTTCAGAGCAGCTGAAACTGAAACTCAGAAGTCTCACTGACTGTCAAGAGGAGAAGCATGTCATGTGTATTAGGAGGTATAGGAAGAAATGGTAATGGCGGTCAGTTTGAGCCCTACACTGAAAGTTACAGCACTGGCCCTTCACATTGCAGACGGAACTGGTACCTGAGCCATTTCCACCAATCTGTGCCAGTGAGAGGCTGCAGAGATTTGCTGTCTTGCACTTTACCATATTCCAGAGAAGACTGTGCGGCATAGCCGGTAAGGGATACTTGTGAAAACTCCAATTATACTTAAACTTCAAATTCCCACAACTCCTGAAACTCTAAGAAAATTCATAAAAAACTAGTACCTGTCTCAAGGTATCACAGTAAAGACAATTTCAGTATTAAAAGGTTAGTTTGCTATAAAATTTATAGTTTTAGAACTGAACTTGAAAATAACATATAGGAAGACAATATTAGAAATTCATGTTCACCTACAAAAAGTAAATAATCTTTAAGAATCGTTATATACAGATTACCCTTGGTGGTCTGCAGGTCAGATGTTTACTTGTCACAGCCCTGCTCAGAGTCTCCTGAGGGAAGAGGGACTTCCCAGGCCAGGCTGCCAGTGACACTCTTACTCCCTCCCTTTCTGGTTACACTAATTAGTTTGAATGAAACAAACCCTCTTAAAACAGAAAGTGGTCTAAATATTCCTGCAAAGACACTTCAGATAATATTACTAATGTAATCATAAGCAAATAAAATGAAGGGATGATGTTTAGGTTCTTAGAATGAGTTCTTTGCTCAACAAGAATTATTTGATAAGAAACAGATCAAAAAATTTGAAATATAAGAAAACTGTACAAAATATGGATTTATATCCCCTATTAAGATATGAAAATCCAGGGTATAAAAGTGGGATGGAGTCAAATGACTGAAGGATTAGAACATGGAGGAAGGATGGTTTTCAAGAACCCAGTGACTGATTTGAGCTGCTCATACATGCGGTCTTCTCCTTTCTGCCAATACAAAATTCAGTCCATGTAGCACACGTTCACTAAATTTAATTCAACTAGCCAGAACTCTCCACTTATTCAAAAATTCAAAAAAATATAAGAAAAGCTAAGAAAAAGAATGTAAAGCTCTCTCTGGTGCCTGGGATGTATGAGGTAAGATAGCAGGCTGCTTACAGGGGTACCTCCTGAAATTCAAGACTGCCTGGATTCCACTCTGGCTCTGCTGCTAACTAGCTGCATAAATTAGGACAAAATGTTGCCTCTGTTTCCTTTACTGTAATACAATGATACATGATGAATAGTGATAGCTTCTGCTTCACTGGATTGCTATAAGAATTAAATTAGATAAGCCATATAAATTATTGGACACAACAGATGCTTTAGAGATCAAAGCAGATATATAAATATTTATCACAGTGTCTGACACATGGTAAATACTCAGTAAATATTAATTATTATTATAATGAGTCAACAAAGTTTAATTCCAAGCCTAGCAAACATCTAGCCTTTCTGAATCTGGGGCTTCTTACCCAGATTTTTAAAGGCAATTTAAAAAGTCCTTCCTAAATTAAAATTCATTTTTAGAAATATTATACCATACCTATAAAAATGCACATAATATATTCTTAAGTGAAAAAAAAGAGTTACAATAGAGTACTCCCAAACTCACAATTTTATTTTAAAAAATAAGAATAATTTTCAACTACAAGAATATGCCGTAAGAGTAACCACAATTTACATATGATTTCTATCTTCTATATCCTTTAAATTTCTATCTTCTATATCCTTTAAAATAAAACACAATACATAGATATTACTTTTATAACTAGGAAAAGTATCCTAAGGGTTGTTTGTTTAAATAAAAAAAAAAATCAAACAAATATTATGATTGCCAGCCAACCAGACTGTCTCTTCTTTTTCAGTTTGGCAAGCTGACCAAAGTCTTTTGTAGGGTTGCCATTTTTCCCATACAAGGGGGATGTAGGTAGAGCTATGGAAAATGGAAAATCAGGAGGAGCAAACAGGAGGGAAAGAACAGATAACACAAGAAGCAAACTGCAGAAGTTAGCAGAAACTAGAAGCAGTGAGTAGTAGACAAGCAGCTGCTTTGTTAAAACAAGCCACCTTGGATGTGTTTTTCAAGTAGATGGACAAAATATGTAAATGATTTCAATTCTATTTATCCATCAGATAGTTTCGCACAAAAACTCATCAACTTTCTATGCTATAAAGCAATGAAAATTTACTTAGTACAACATCCCCCAAATGTTGTGTTGTCATTCAGTGTTTTTGTGTGTGAGCTGTTTTTTGTTTGCTTGTTTTTTTAAAGGTTTTATTTATTTATTTGTGAGAGAGACAGAGCACAAGCAGGGCAGAGGGAGAGGGAGAAGCAGACTCCCTCTGTTGAGCAGGGAGCTTGACGCAGGGATTGATCCCAAGACCCTGGGATCATGACCTGAGCTGAAGGCAGACACTTAACCAACTGAGACACCCAGGCGCCCCATGTGTCTCTGCTGTTTAGTTTTTGTGTATGTATGAGAATATTTGAAGATACAGTATGTCCTTCTAGTATTTTATCAACAGAGATCTTTACAAGTTCTTGTCACACTTTTATCACTCCTGTTCTCGACATTTCAAGTCACCTTATCCACCATTTAAAATAAGTATAATAAATTTATTTAAATTTATTAAAGTGTATACTTACTATTCCAGTACCAAAATAATTTCACTGGCATTTTCATAGACTTCATGAAGATTAATTACATGAGGACAAGACTTTGCCAATTCAAGTATGGCAATTTCATGTAGAATCTCTGCTCGACAATCCTGTCCTCTTCTTCTCTTTTTTAGAAATTTTGCAGCATATTCTTGGCCAGTAGATTTTGATATACACTGTCTAACCACAGCAAATTTTCCTCTGGGGAAAATGGAGATAATCGATTTTAATGTTTGCATAAAGAACAATATTAGTATAATACAGACACAGTTAAAACTTCAACTTGAGTTAATCCTTCCAAACAACTATGCCATTAGAAATTTATCTATTTTCTCTTAACCGAATCAAATACTACATGTACTTTTAAAAACTTATAGTACTATCACATAAAAATGCAAACAGCAAATGTAGTAACAGGATAAGACAGAATTGTATTTGTTCATCACTATTAATTCAATACATTATCATTGTAGGGGGAGATCTTCTCTGCATACCAACACCATGCCATATTCTTGATATAAATTTTTGTTTAAATATCATAACAATCCTATATAGTAAGTGATATTCCATTTTACAGACCCCAGAGAGTATATGTATCTTGGTCTACTTCCAAAAACTGTACCCTTAATAGAGTACCACACTAACTCTCTAATCAAAATAGCTTCCTTCAAAAACAAAAAATTAAAATGAGTATTTGACATTTAATTTTCTTAGTGTAATTACTTTGCCTTTCAACACCACTTTTAACAATCTTTGAAGTTTTCTATCATTAATTTAGCAGTTGTTTTTACCAGTAAATATTTTCATATTGCCCAGTGGTCTATGAAGCCTGTGACAGATATCAAAGGTCTATGTATCCAGAAATACTTCATGATCAACTAAGAAAATTTAATAGTTCTCAATAGCTACCCATTAAAGTCATGTTTATCACTTTAAGAATAAGTATGTATTCGGCTCTTTCCAAAAGACGTGCTTAGCATCTCTGCAAGAATTTAAAAAGATACCGGCAAATGTGTGTTCTAAGCCTATAGATCCCCAAAACCTAGTTTCCCCAAAGACCTTAAGTTATTTTGAGTAAGACTATTTGAAGAAACTAATAAAGCCTACTGACTGCCTACCCCAAAAAATGTACACACGCCCTTAAATAGGAAATTTACATACAATTCCAGAGGGTTTTTAGATTTCAAAGCCCATCTACAAATCTTCAAAACCTGAGTCCAAGGGATCCACAACTAAGAACCTGTATCCTAAGTCTCAAATTGCTTTGTAGATACTAACAAATGAGGTATAAATAAAGGGTCTTCAGAGAGGAACTTTTGTTCCACAACCCTTCTTTCCCCAATTCTACTTCTAACACAGCATATCAGGTGCCTGGCAAGGAAAACTTGGTGTTTGGGGTGGGGATGGGGGACAAAATAAATTGCTTGACCGCATTTTACTTCTCAAGGGTCAGGATGATAAAGATACCTACTCTTTATTTTCCAAATTTCTTCAATATTGGTACCAGTGAAAAGCACTGGAAACCAAGCTGAAAAAGTATAGCTACTAACACCAAAAAAAAAAAAAAAAAAGTGACCAAGCTATAATTTGACTGTTCTACATTGACCAAAACTACATCAGTTCAATAAATTTGTATGCACAAACCTGATTCTTAGAAAGAACTTTCCTTTAAGATTTGGAATGTCTAATTTAAACCATAAGGTATTTTTTCACTGTATGGCAAAAGCAATGCAGATCAATGTATTTCAATGAGTACACAAAAAGGTCATCAGTCTCTACTTTGTATTCAAACCACCCATGTTTATAGATTTTATACTGGATAAATTGAATCAGACTAAGATTAAATGGCTCCTGAAAGGTCATATATGGAATTGGAGTGCCAAGAATTAAACTATGGAATGTGAATTCCTAGCTTTCTCTTCTAACCACTGCAAAACAATTCCTTCCTTTAAGATAGTTTTTTTAAGAAGTACAACTCACTTCTGCCAATTCTCACTTAGATTTAGAAGTGAAAACATGTCTAAAACAGAAAGGAAATTTTGGGTTTTATGAAGAAATTCACCTTGTAAAACTTAGTAAACAGAAACTAGTTAGCTAAGAAAACTGTCCATCGGAAAAAAAAGAACAACCAGTTTATACTACCAATTGTGACAATTAACTCTGCTGTGATTTTACGATTATATTTGCAAGCCAGAATTTTCTCAAGAACAATGAGCAAAATTAACTAGTAACACTGTTTATCTAAATTCATTCATGTATTCTTATGAGGCTTTCTTAAACAGGTATACAACTCATTAATCCAGTACAAAGGTGACCAAGTGATATTGGTAATTATTTATCTGTCAGTATTTATGACTAAGTAAAAGCCCCATGAGGGTAGAGACTCTGTGTGTCCCAATTACCACAGTTACTATAAAATCTACACTTTGCTAACACATAACAGGAACTGAAACACCTGTTGAATGAATGCAGGAGTTATGATGCACCTACTACAAGACCATATACCGTGATATTTTGGGTCCTGTGCTTAAAGCGTTTATATTTTTTAAAGCTTTTTTAAGATTCCAATAACATTTTACATATATATTCATTAATACACTGTTAATTACCATAATTATCAGATGACTTAGGAAGAAAAAATATTTGTTTCCCATTATAAAATGTTAATTGTGGTTTAGAAGTATAAAAACAATCTTTTACATACATTATGTTCCTATATCAAATTTAACAGAAATATTTAAGAAAATTAAACACCCTTAACAATAATACTTAATTCATACCCTAAAAAGGCAAAGCTGACTAGATTTCCTAGCAGTGAAAAAGTCTAGTAGTTACCCTTCTGCATTCTAGAATAGACAATAAAATGTGAAAGGAGGGGGGCAGGGTAAACCAAAAAAGGAAGCTGACGTCTATTTCTGCATCTGCCTCACCCTTCTAACCACAAGAAGTCTTAAAGAACTTTGCCTTGGTTGGGGGAGGGGTGGAAAAAAAACTTGCCCAATATGTTAAAAAACAGGAACAATGTTAAGTTTTTTGAGAACAGTCTAAAATAAACTATAAACTTTTACATATTTTCTTTTAGTGTGCTAAAACTATCTTGAAATTAATTAAAAAAACAGGGGATTTAGAAAGATCAACTTGATGAACTTTGTAGTTCACTATATGCTTGAATTATGTTTACATACTTTAAAATATAAAGCCTCAGGAAAAACAATATTATAAACCTAATTTTCATTTTATATTAGTATTGTATATTAAGATTGGTAACAATATTAGAAGAACTTAAAGGAAGTTATTGGTCATGAAAGATCATGATTTCTAATTGATTAAGTTTTACTAATTAGAAATATTTGAATTTACCACATGACTCATTAGCCCATACCAATTTAAAGAATAATGTTAGGTCTCTTTCCTAAAGATATTAGCAAACTGAATATTAGCAAACTGAATTTGTTTTAATAAGATTCTATCATGAGTTTTTGCCTTAAAATGTTAAAAAATATACTTGATTCAAGTTTATGCTTGTACCTCATTTATAAAATCATTTAAAATTATTAACGTTGTCGTCCTCAAATTTTAAGTTCTCCAAAACTCCCAAAGTAAAAAACATATTTTGTAGACTTTCAAGCCACATGATATCCCTATTTTGCAAAGTTAGTTTAATAAATGTATGTACATATACCCATCAAAATAGAAATTTAGAAATATAAAAAAGAATACCCTTTAACGTGTGTACTGTTCAAGACTTTCATAGTCAGTTACCTGTTCAAAGCAGTTTCCCAACATTTTTGCAATAGAAGGAAACTTGGAGACATCTAGTCTACCCTCTCCTCTTAATGAAAAGGAAATCACACAACTAAGTATATCACACAACTTTAGATCCAGGATAAAGACAGGTCAACTGACTTCCAGTTTAATCTGTTTTTTATTAATATAATATATATGGTATATATTTCACATACCTTTTTTTTTAAAAAAAGGAAAGAAAACTCTTAAGAGAATCTGAAGCTACCTCAATAAAGCTTTACAGTAATCTAGATGTTAAGATATTGACAATAGTGTCCACTCTAGGCCTTCTTAAGACTGACAAAGAAAAATATGAAGTGGTCCAGAGGAAGGTAACTAGATCAAAGATGGCTGTCTGGAAATTAGGTCATAAGATGAACATTTAAGGAAACTGGCAGTGTTTAACCATATTCAAATCTCTGAAGGATTTTCACATGGACATTACATGCAGGTACAAAAGAAGAACTACGTCTATTGGGTAGATGTTAGCAGAGCAGAAAACAGAACCTTCTGTGCCTCCAAGGTACCCACAAAATGGAACAGACACATTATGAGGTAATGAGTTCCCCATCACTGTAGCATTCAAACTGAAGCTGGATAAACTGCTTGTCAGGAAAATTGTAGGAAAGACTGCTGCACAAAGAATTATAGTAGAAGACCACTGACCACCCAAATCCTTCCAATGCAAAGATTCTATAACTATTCTATGTAAGACATAAGCAACTAAAAGAAACTGATTCCTCCTGTTAAAATGAAGAGAAATAGGGCCACGTGGGTGGCTCAGTGGGTTAAGCCTCTGCTTTCAGCTCAGATCATGATCTCAGGGTCCTGTGATCAAGCCCCGCATCAGGCTCTCTGCTCAGCAGGGACCCTGCTTCCCCCCTCCCTCTCTGCCTGCCTCTCTGCCTGCTTGGGATTTCTGTCTGTCAAATAAATAAATAAAATCTTTTAAAAAATAAAATAAAATACAGAGAAAATTACAGATTTAGAATTAAATAATTTCTCAGAAACATTCTGGAAAGTTTGAAAACTGTATCTTTCAATACACCATTAAAGCACCAAATATTTTGCACATAAAATTAAATAAATAAATATGCTAGGAATTATGAAAAATGCTTTCACATTTAGTTCTTAGTTTAATGAAGTCTGTATTATCAACCTTATTTGCAAACAAAAGACTGCACCCAACATCTGACAAGTCTAGGACATGTCGTTACTGGTCACGTAAAAGATCACCAAGAACAGAATTACTTTTCATCGTTCAGTCGGCTTTTATTTCCACACTGAGACTTTCAAATATAAAAATCAATCATACTATCTTCCTATACATCTATCAACACAAACATGGACTTAGTAAACCATATTAATTTAAGCAAACATCTGTCTCCAGAACTAAAATCAAACTGAAGACTGAAACAGATCACCATCTTTCAACTCTTTGTTAAATGTCTTTAAAGTTCAAAGATGCTAAACATTTAACAAATAACTTAGTGTATTTTTACAACGTGTGTATATATTTAAATGGCAATGGTCTCATAATCTCAGGTCACCCCTTGGTCTTAACACTCTAGTTAGGCCAAAACAGATCAGTATTAGTGTTAAGTACAGTGTTTTACCTACAGAACATGCATTCTTCATCATACAGAATTATATTATCAAATATGAGTTAATTCTTTTTGTTTAATTTAGGAAAAAAGAGGAGGACACTCTCATTTATGTTTTTAGCCCAGTACAATATCCTAGGCATTTAAAAAAAATTTTAACAAAAATTGATAGCATTCTACTAAATACTTCACAATTAGGTTAACTAATTTAATCCTCATAACAACCATGGAAGGTAGATACAATTATCTTCATTCCCACTTCTCAGATGAGGAAATTATAGTACTAAGAGGTACAGAAATTAAATTGAAGTCACAAAGTTTGGAAACGGCAGCACCCCAATTTGGACTTGGCAGTCTACTATTCTAAGCTCTCTGTTTCCATGCACAGCCTCCAGTGAGAACCCCAACCTCCTCTCAGGGCTCTGAATCTGGTGGGACATATCATATAAGCTCACTAACTCTCTCTAGAGTTGATTTCCAAATCAGTTAAGACTAGACCTTTATAATAACAGCAGAGATGATGATTTTCTTTTTAATCATTTTTTAAAACAATCAAGTGAATTTTATAGAACTATAGACCAAGAAATCCAAAATTTAATTTAAACAGAAAACACATTATAAAATTTCCTTACCGTCCCAGCTCTTTAGATGTAAGTGTATAAAAATTATTAAAGTTTTCCATTTTCATTGGAGTTTGAGGAGTTGTAGTTAGCAAGCCTGAAATACTTCGGCAATCAAACCTTCTCCGCGACATGTTTGATGACTCCCAGATATGCTTCTTTAGTCACTTATTTTTACCTATTTAAGAAAAGAGAAGACACAGGATATAACTTAAATGCAATTAAGAAAAAAAAAAAGATGTTATCTCAGGCACACAGGATGTACATTATATTTTACAGCTCCAAATATAGCTATAAGGTACAACCAAAAAAGAAAGGAAGAAAAATAGATAGATTGATTTAAATAGCACATTGTCTCCCTGCCTGCTTCTCTGTCTACTTGTGATCTCTCTGTCAAATAAATTTTTTAAAAATCTTTAAAAAAAAAAAGGGGGGTGTCTGGGTGGCTCAGTGGGTTAAGTCTTCTGCTCAGGTAGTGATCTCAGGGTTCTGGGATCGAGTCCCACACTGGGTTCTCTGCTCAGCAGGGAGCCTGCTTCCCCATCTCTCTGCCTGTTTCTCTGCCTATTTGTGATCTCTCTCTGTCAAATAAATTAAAAAAGAAAAAAAATTTAAATAGCACATTCTACCCAGATGAAAGGGCAGGGGGGGGAAGCACAGGCATAAATTCTATTACCTCGATGGACTTGAACTAACTTACTGATTTTATTTCAGAATAAAACTACTATAAAAATTTTCAAGATCTCCCAAATTCTTAAAAAGTAGTTATAATTTTAATACAAGCAATCATTCAATTTCATTTTTAAACTCTCGTTCTTTAAAGTTATATCTTCACATAAGATTTTAACATAGCAAGGTAATGATTATTCATTTTAAATTTAATTTTACATAGCCAAATTTGGTAATGAGTTCACATTTTGTGAGTTATGTTACTGACTTCTGAAAGACTACAAGAAATAGAACTTATTTAACAGACTACCTGCATTTCAATATTAAACTCAAGCTTTCATAAGTCTTAGAGTTTTTTTTTCTTTCGATAGAACCAAGCTCTATAACTTTGTTGGATAAGCTAATGACCATATACAAAGCCTTATTCTACAATTCTATATCTTGAACTCATATTTACCTGCAACTTTGTGATATTTACATGTATTCAGTTTTAACAACAAAACTACCATTTCATGTTAATTGAATTCATATAATTGTAGACTATGTATTTAGGACTTCCTGCTATGGGTATCTAACAAAAGACCCAATATTGGTTCTAGCACCCTCTTTCAATAACCCCCTAGGGCTTTTGTTCTTTCTCTGCCACATTTTTCCTCCACTTATTTCATTGACATGTATTGTTCTTTATCTTTCTAAATTCAAATGACAACTATATTCAATTTAATAAGCAATGTGATAACAGTTTATTGTTTTCAGTTTCTATATTTTCTTGGTTTTATTCTTAAGTTGACAATTTTTTTCCTCTAAATCTGTTGCTCTTTGGAGAAACGAAGACCTAACTAGTTTTGGTGTACACTTCTAGCAGTCTAAGTGTTGCAGTGTAGCGTTCTGAAAAATGACATTTGGACCAAATCACAGCTGGGTCTGAATCCCATTTATCCATCACACCAGCTATGAGATCTTAACTAAATTATTTAACTTCACTACTGTTATGGACCAATTATGTCCCTCCTCTCAAAATTCACATGTTGAAGTCCTAGACCCCAATACTTCAAAATGTATCTGTATTTGGAGTTAGGGCCTTCAAAGCAGTGATTAAGTTAAAAATGAGGTCATTAGGGTGGGCCCAAATCCAACAGGACTGGTGTCCTTACAAAAAGTCATTAGGCCACAGAAACATACGGAAGGAAAACCAGGTGAAGACACAGGGAGAAGAAGGACATCTGCAAGCCATAGAGAAAGGCCTTAGAAGAAACCAGTCCTGCCAACAGCATAATCTCAAATTGCTACTCTCCAGAATTATGGGAAAATGAATTTCTGTTGTTTAAGTCACCTGATCTGCAGTACTTTTTCATGGCTGTGTGGGAAACAAATATAGTTACTTAAAAAAAAAAAAAGAAAAGAAAGAAATATTTCAGATGTACAGGAAAGGATACAAATATCCTAATAAACACTTGCTTTTTCAATCTTATTGCTTTGTCATATTTCATTTAAATTAGAAATAAACAAGACAACACAGACACGGCTAAAGTTGGTCCCTTTTTTCCACACTCAGTTTATATTCCTACTAGCACTAGGTGGGAGAGCTTATCATTTCTTTGCCAACATTTGTCCCATTTAGGCTTTTAACTTTGGCTATTCTAGTGTGATGAAAGGAAATGAAACTTTGTGATTTACTTTGCATTTCTCTAATTACTACTGAGGAAAGCCTCAATTCTACTTCCTCTAAAGTATGGATTATAATAGAATCTATTTTACACAGCTCTATGGATTAAGATTAAAACACGATGTACTCATGTAGAATGACACTGGTACAGTGCTAATCATGAGAGTACATCATGATTTTTCAGTAAGTAAATATTGTTAATATTCTACCCAAAGATACTCTCTACACCATCCTGGCTGTTGGTAAGAAGTTGTACTGTTCCCATATACAAAACTCTCACCACAGGTTATCTTAAACTCAACTCTTAAAATTCTGCCCTTTTTTGCTGTTTTGATAAACTATTTGTGTACTTTCTTAGACCTGATGGCATGCAATTACAATGGTCATATAGTCCTCTCAGAAAAATCAAAATAGTCACCAATTTCTATGCTCAATCTACTTTTTTCCAGGTCATCTTTGGGTTTTGACAATTTTTTTCCATGCCTGCTTATGATTGCATTTGTATTATACATACGTATATACAGAAACAAGGGATGTACCTATATCATGGATACAAACTGGGCTACATTCCCAACACTGTCCATCAATCAGGCCTTGGGAAATATAAGATATACATGTCAAGTTCAATCATAGAGACAGAGTATAAGCTCTTGATTCTGAGATGTTCACTTCATCTAGATTCTAGAATCTAAGATCTTATCTCATGCTGTAAAATATCAGCTACAAAGTGATCTATTCATAAGAACTCTAACAGAACTAATTTTTTGAGTATTTTCTGCTCTCAAGTTCCCAAAGAGTCAATATGGATCTCAGATGTAGTGAAAAATTTATGCTCAGTGAAATAGGGTTTATAATAAAGAAAAAAACTTGTTCAATAAATGAACCCCAAAGTCCAAAAAGTATTTAAATATACCTAAATAATAGGATACTATATACTCAAAAATCATGCTTTCAAAGACTGTTTTTAACTCCTATAATATTAAGTGGAAAAAGGAAGACAGAAAAAGTATATACACTATGATAATTTTGTGGCAAAAATATAAAAACAAATAGAAGACTGGAAAACTAGGACAAAATGTTAACAGTAGTTATCTTTGAGTGGGGGATTATGGCAGAACTTATACTTTCCAGGTATTTAAAGTATCTATACTAGGTAGGTACTACTTTACTAATAGGCAAATAATTAGCAAATACCCTTGGATTAAAAAAATGGCTATGAATATATATGGCTAGACTCTGAACGCAGAAATTTACCCAGTTGCAACAGCAAAATATATCTCTTTACACATTAAGGGTTTATTGGCTATAGGTTCAAGAGCCATTATTGCTCAATTTTTTTTAAGGCCTCAGAGTTTTCTCTGCATTTATATAGAACAGATGGCATCCACTATCCAAGTAATATGTCAGTTCTAATGCAGAGACCATATAAGCATTCAGGGTAAACACCAAACAAGAATTAATGCCTTGTTAAATACTGGATAGAAAAGACAATTTAACAAATTCCGAATTAATGTTATAGTTACAATTCTATATAATGAATAACAATTAGTAACTTTAAAATATACACCTTTATTATGAGTATCGCTTGTGAGAATCTAGAGTTATCCTGGGACCCCCTTCCCTCCCAAAATCTAAAATGTGATATCCAAATATACATATAAATATTGTTTTGTAATACCTATTATTCGGTTATGTTAGAATGAAAAAGAGCTGGCCTTTAAAGTATTGATAAGATAATAGTAAAACAAATAGGGCTTTGTTAAATCAAGCTACTCAAGTATTTCCTAACACTGGACATTGTCTCGTGTTTTTAATTTTCTACCCTAACAAATTTTCCTCCCCTTACATGTACTGTTGGTCATCAAAATGCTGAATATACCCAAAGGCATTTTTATGACTCTAAATGTAGCTGAAAACAGCAGTGGGCAATCAGCAGTTCTTTTAATACAAGTTAATACAAAAATCATTTTTTGAATTGTGATACATTTTACTCTAGCTGGAAATATGGTGAAATACCAGCTATGTCTCAGAATAAAGAACAGAACATTTCTGAAATGAGAAATGAAAACAGAACATTACACTTACCTACTTACTGTTAAAATAACGGTATTACAGACTGCTTAAGGCATGCCTATAGCATCCTGTACGTTTATTTTCCTTCTATTTACTGAACTCGAACAGGTTACCACGGCCTAGATATTTTTCCATTTCTTCTCCTTTGGCTGATTTTACTTATAATGGAGCATGAATGTTACACTTTGTCCAAACCCTCCACAAACATGGGGCTGCCTGTCACATAAGGTTTAACCCTTGGGTACATGAAGGTTATCAGTCAACCCTCTCCTCTGTGTATCTTCCTGAATTTCCAAACAATTTCTCTTTAACTCCAACAATTGCAGACCTTTTGTTTTCTACTACAATTCACATAACTGATTCTAAATTACCAGTATGTCTCAATCTATTTAAAATTCATTTCATAACACTTTATTAGGCTATACTAATAAAATCTTAAGGGACTTAGTAGGTAAATGTGTTTGTGTGTGTGTATAGAGGTACACAATTATAGACACAATCAGGTACTAGAAACAGTAAGAGGGTACTAGAAGGCAAGATAAAATTAAGCTTCCAAGTATACAGTACCTCAAACTTATTCTCAAATATTTTTCTTTTATTAATTCCCATCACAATAATTACAATAAGAATTCAGATATGGATCAGTGAAGGAAGGAACAGAGGAAATGTTAGGCTTGATGTGGACCTTAACCTACTTGAAGGGAGACAGCACTGTGATGTGATTTGTTTTTTGTTTTGTTTTGTTTTTTAAAGATTTTATTTATTTATTT